AGCTGTTAACACCGAAGTGATTCACATTGTAATAGGGCTGCTTATTCATTATAATCTCTCTTTTAGAGTTGCATTCACTGTCTGTCTGCATTTGTTTTTCTAGGCCCATCCTTCGGTTCATGTCAGAGGAACAGAACACACATACATACCTGTGCTGTGTCAGGATGAGAAGTGTTTGAGACAGGAGAAAGGAGTGCACATGCACTGCCCGCTCTGTTCTGTGGCCGAGGCTTACCAAGATCCCGTCATCCTGCGAGCTCACTTCCGCATCAAACACGTGGACAAAGGAATTGACTTTGCAGGTGAGGTACAGTGAGACTATAGACTCACATGTGATTCATGCCCTTTGGAGACAGTCTCTCTCTCATTTTTTTATGGTCAGGCTTGAAGGTGCTGCGCTGCTGTATCCATTGCGAGATTGTGGGCACTATTAAAGGAGAAAAACGGTTTAAAGGTGCACATTGGCACTGTTACCGCTGTAGAAATGGTTTCAACAGGAGGGACGAGGCCATCAAACACTATAAAACACACTTCCGAAATCCCCGCACCACATTTCAGATCCAAGTCACACAGGTAAAAGTGGAAACACTGGGTTAAATCGGTTTTTCCCCTTTGGATATCACATTTTTTGATCATGTTTGCATATGTGCTCTCACAGAATGTGAACTGCCGACAGTATTATGGTGAGAGCTCAGAGGCTCATGCTGAAGCATATGAAGGGCTGGCAGTGAGTCTTGGACCAGGTGGAGATGGCACTAGCATTGGAGCCATCTTAACTCAGCCCTTCCTGACCACTGGCACTGAAACCCTATTGACTGTGGAGCCAAAGGTAGACAAAGTCTCAAAGCTTTATTTTGGGCATATTCATTAACAAGCATGATCTACTACTAAGCCTTTTTGGTGTTTGACTTGAAGTATTGAAGTTGACCTCTCCTTTATATTTGAAGGAAGATGGTGAGAAAAATGGAATCCCATTGGGTGCTGAGGAAGAGGTGGGGTCTTCCCAGAATTCATCTAATGGGACTCAGACTCTTGTTCTTATGGACCCTGATGGACAGGGAAACAGTGTGATCTATGACACAGCTACTGGTATCATCACTGAACAGGTGAACATTATTTACATGAATCACTGAATCATTATTTACATTCATCACTGAATTTTTTTAAAGAAATTAATACTTTTTATTACACTTTTTATTTTTATTTGTAACTTGTATTCAGCAAGGATATATTAAATTGCTCAAAAGTGGCTGTAAAGACATTTATAATAAATTTATGTAAAAAAAAATAAACCACATATATTTTCAACATTGAAAATAATTAGAAATGTTTCTTGAGCACCAAATCAGCATATTAGAATGAAGGATCGTGTGACACTGAAGAGTAATGGCTGCTGAAAATTCAGCTTTGCAGTCACAGGAATTAAGTACATTTTTATAAGATATTCAAATAGAAAACAGTTGTTTTAAATTGTACTAATATTTCACAATATTACAGTTTTTATTGTATGTAATCATATAAATCCAGTCTTGTGAGCATAAACAACAACATAAAAAATTCTTTGCAACCCACAACATTTTTAATGGTTTGTCTACATTATCCAGTCTTCTGGTTTAATAGATCTCCTGTAGGAGCTGTCTAAAACTTTAGTTGCTGTAATTTCAGGAGGCAGAAGGTTTGGAACAGGCCCTGCTACAGAAACGACTCCTGGAGCTCCACCAGCAGATCGACACAGTACGCCAGGAGAAGGAGAGTATGGAGAAGACACTACGAGCTGAGATTAAACAGCTCAAAGAGCAGGTATATCTGAAGTTTATATTTAGCTTTATACAACGGGGCTGTTGAATGCTTAAAACTGATTGGCTGACGAATGTTCTAAGGTGTGAAATTATTTTCAGGGAAATGCATTGCTAAAGTAGTTCCAGGCTGGTCCTGACCGCATTACATGTCCATATCACTAATTACAGAGGTAATTACAGCGCTGTTCTTGAAGCAGATGAACTACATATTTGCTATTAGTAGAGACGCTTTTTCCGAAATCTGTTGAGAGATGCACAGACTCAGGTAATTCACTCAAGCTTAACATCTCTCTCATTCTCTCACTAATAACTGCATTAGTCTGCTATCAATGGCTCAAGCCTCCGTTACTCACTCTAAAATTACATTTTGGAATTATCAACGGAGGCTTGAGATGAGATGAGACGAGACATTAGTCCTACACACAAGAGTGTTTTAAGAACAAAAACCTGACAAATGTTTTAAAATACGTCATCTGAAAAATTATGTTAGGTGAGGTAACCATAGTATAAGTGGAATAATTGACTCTGGTCTGTTGAATTATTAGAAAATAATGCACACCAGAGGTAAAGGCCACCTTGGGTGTGCATTATTTTCTAATAATTCAACGGTCCATCGTCAATTATTCCTTACTTATTGTATTTCTAATTTAAGTCATTTTTAACTTTCGTTGAAGTAATACTCAATTTTTTGTTTCATTATTTTATGTAGCAAATTTGCAGTGTGTTGTTTACCACACAATAATTTCAAATTGCCCTATTGTATAAACAAATGGGACATGTTCACAGTAAATACACTTACACTAGATGGTTAGCTAAGCAAGCAATACCACAAATAAATATTTAAACTACTGTACTGGAGTGACAGTTCAAAAGTGACAATTCGTTTCTGTTCATCAAAGATAGTTGTATTTTGGTTTCCTCCAAAATATTAACTGTTTTGAACATTGATGATAATAAGAAATGTTTCTTAAGCAGCATAATATCTGAACAGTATCTGAAGGATCATGTGACACTGAAGAATGGAGTAATAGCTGCTGAAAATTCAGCTTTGCCATTACAAGGATAAATTACATTTTAAAAGTTTTTTTTTCTGTTAATTAACATTTCAAGTTTTAACCACAGATCATAAACATTCTTTTGTACACTTGCTATAATAATTCAATCTTCCTTTGCATCCCTTTTATTTTATTATTAGGTTGCAAGCCTGGTTCAGTCTAACGTAAGGATGTTTGAGGAACTGCAAGCTTATCAATGTCCAGATCACAGCCAGCAGAAGGTGGCCAAGCTTGTAAGTGTTCCGAATATATAGGCCTGGGCTAATTAAAATGTATATTATTCCCATTTTGTTTTGTTTTTTGTATTGTTAGCTGGAAAACCTTGAAGCTCAGCACAAAGAGCTCCTGCAGGCCCAGCTGGCCTCACTCAGGAGGGAGATCCTGTCGGGAACAGATAACATGCCAGTCAATGGCCACAAGGGGGCTCTGGAGTTCAGTGTAGATTCAGAGGAGCCACAGACTGAAGCCATTAGTGGCACTTTAGCAGGACTGGTGGATATGGATGTGCAGCATGAGGAACTAAAATCCACAGATCTTGAACTAGTACCAACCGATACAATGCCCTCTTTGGAGAGCCCTGGCTTGGACTTAGATTTGCCAAACTCTGGCTCGACTACATCTAAGGTTTTAGCGGATAAACGGGAAGTGTCATTGTCCCTTGTGTCATCTAAGAAGCGCAGCTCAGCAGATGACTCAGAAGAGATGACTCAAAGCAAAGTGCAGAGAGTCAGCTGAGAATGACTTGACGTTAAAAACAATAATCTCCATTCCTTTTTCTTAACAAACTGCTGTTACCTTTGCCACTCATTTCCTGGTAAAAAAAATATGCAGAGTGATCTGTATTCTGTAATTTGGCAAAATTTACATAAATGTTTCCATGATGAAGTATTTTTAACCTTAAATCGTGCTTTTCCATATTTATTTATGTTTAAATGCTGGTTTTGTCAGTGCTTTCTGATGTACTCATGTTCTTGTCACTCAAAGAATGTATAGAATTAAAGGTGCAGCAGGAGATCTTGAAAAATGCTAACTTTAGCCTGATAGCACTGAAAGCGAACGTCCCACCCTCCCTACAATCGCTGTCCAAAGCCACGCCCCCTGAACGCATAAATGCACACCAGACGACCAGAGACAACATTACTACAATACATCATGTGTCATTCACCGGTGAGAAAACTTTATAGCACAGTTAGTAAAAGTACTACAATACCAGGAAGGAAGATCAGGTTGTTGATATTTGTCTGCCATTCTCGCTCTGTCTGCACAGCATATGTGAACGCGCTGATGACGTATCCTGTCTGCACGAACAGGGTGCTCAGAGGTATGCAAATACATATTTGACAGGCAGGTAGGAAAGCCAATCATAATGTTCGGACCGAACAGAAGCATGCTACTGATCATAAATTCATAAAGTAAACATTCTGTGATGAACTGTTATGGGCTACGGAAAAACATTTTAAGTTGGGTTGTCAAATTTTGAAGGTTTGTCAGCATAATTCTCCTGTTTGGGCTTTTTTTTTTTAATAGGCATTTTTTAATTCACTGCCAGCTAAAATTATCATCTTTATTGACAAGTTGTCCAACTTTTCCATTACAAGACATTGCACTTGTTACTTTTTCAGTGCCGGTCATGATGGGCCAGTCATAGTTGTTTAGATTGCTTTGGTATATATACATTTGGATGTCAGGTGTGAATCTGTTATTCTGTTTATTTTACATTATCCACTGAGATAAACAATAGTTCTGGGATTAGAATGTGATTTATGGGGGATTCAGTTTACTGAATTTTTACATCTCAGGATTTAGCATATAGACTGACCATTTATATGACACATGGGTAACAAATGAGCGGCGAAAATAATTTTCATATTTGCATTTTAAATTCAATAGCTATAAAATGTTCTCAGTGTCATTGTTCAGTTGTAATCTATTATCCAGAGACCATTGCTGAAGTACCACGTTTCACATGCTAGCTGTTAATTTTTTCCTTGCTGTTAACTTTTTTTTTTTATCATAGCTTTTATATTACGGTTTTCAATATATGTCAATTTTTTAAAATGCTGCACATACTAGACGTTGCAATTCCTTATTTATGCACAAGTTAAAGTTTTGAATGTGCAGAGGGAATCTGTTTTCTAAGCGCCCACTAGAGGAAGACGACCACCAACGTCTTCTCCAGACCAGATGGTGGCAGTAAGTATTATTGCTACTTTGCCGTATCAAGCAGTGCAACAAACCCGGAGGAAGGACGCTAGTGCACTATTGTGAGTATTATATTAAACTTTATCGTTTTCTTTTTAAGCCTAAACTGTGTAAAACATAAACAGGAAGGGACCAGGAAAATGTCCTTATCGAATTCAGTGTGTAATTTACGTGGCAACTGTGCAGTTGCACATGCATTGGTTGTTTCTGTGCAAAATTTATAACAATATTATTATTCAAAGGCCATTTACCAGTGTGAGACACCCCACGTATCACTTGACTTTAAATACATTTCATGAGAGGATGTGTTTTCCGTGGAAATTACAGCATCGGTAAGCTTTGACAGATATGCGTGCTTGTTTTGTGATTGCTCTCTGTGTGTTTTCATGTGTTTATAGTGTTTAGGTGACGCAGATGTCGCAGTCAGCGCAGCCCGGCGTGATGCCTTCAGCCCCGGACTCCCCATCTCTGAGCGTGACCGTCAGCGGGAATGTGCAGAAATACAGCATCAAGAAGAAAAAGGTCTTAAATGCGGAGGAGACTGAGCTGTTCGAGCTCACTCAGGCTGCTGGGATAGTCATGGACCAAGAGGTTTTCAAGTGAGTCCCACAAAATCAAAATTAAAACGGATAATGCCGATCTTTAAAACATATCCATACATTTGCAGACCTGTATATCCGTACATTTGCAAACCTTCAGCATATTTTTAGGAATAAAATCGAAAGTTTTAGTGTAAGTGCTGCTGAAGTGGGGATTTCTGGCTCAGTGCATGAGGGGGAAAAACAATTATTCTGAGAAATGTCTTGAAATTGAAATCTACAGACACAAATAGAAAAAGTAAAATAAGATAAATACCTAAATGTGTATTTTGGATGTTTTATTTCCACTAGTCTGATAGAACACTGTAAGCAAAATAGTCCAAAATCTCAAAATTGACCAATGCATGAATTAACAATGGATTTGTTTTGAAGGAATCGTTCCTTTGAGTCAGTTCTTTTAAATGAATCAATTGAACTATGAATTTGACTCAATCGGTCAGAGCCGTTCTCCAGTCACTGACTCTGAGAACCGTCTTTTTTTATCGTGTCTTACTCATAATGAGCCAGGTTAACAGCTTTCAGACTTTTTGAACCAAATCCAGTTGCAGAAATAATTCAGTTTTTCCAATAGTACTTTTAAACTTTGATTTGGTGGGGTGTTTGTGAAGCAGGGTTATTATAATTAATTTTTTTTGTTGTTAAAATAAACGTTAACTAATATATATAACACACACACACAACAAAATTATTGACTAGTTATTACCTTTAACTAAAATGAAAACGGAAAATATAAAAAAAAACATTTAATTCAAAATATTATTAAAAACTACAGCTGTGAAATACCTACAATTGGGCTAATGAAACATATGATTTTGTGTAATATGTCTTCTTACTATTATTAATATATTAATATACTTTTTTATTGAATACTATTGTCTTTAATCCCACTGCTGTTGCCACTTTCATAAAAGCCATGTTGTAAAATGTAATTTTGTATTTGTAGTAAAATCTCTGGAGCATAACCTCCTTTACTGAGTTAGCAGTTTGTATCCGTTAATGTTGAATGATTTTAAATGGTCCATGTCACTCTGCAACAGGATCATATTGGACCTGTTAAAGATGAACGTTGCTCCTCTGGCAGTCTTTCAGACCCTAAAGACCATGTGTGCGGGGCAGAAGGTCTCTGAAACATCCACTGGTGACACATCCACTTCGTCTCACACCACCACTGCACCTTCAGAGTCTAGAGGTGAGGGCCACACATATAAAAGTCATGGAGTAAACAGACCTAAGCATAATATGCCACAGAATTATATGATTTGAGTTGGAAAATAGGTGATCAACATCTGTGCTGTTCTGGTGGTACTTTTGAACTCCGGCTGTCCTTGGATCATTCTCCATATTTTGTGGTAGTGTAAAAAAAAAATTATTTTTTTGTAACCTGTGTGTGAATTCCTATAGAAGAGGAGGGTGTGGCCTCAGGAAAGAGTGCTAAAACTGCAGCACCTCCCTCTGCGTCTGTGTCCCGCCCACCTAGGGGAGGGGCTAAGATAGTGGTCTACAGTGCGGGTGACACGAGTGCTCCCATCTCTCAAGGTTTTTCTTCCCTCTCTCTTTTAGCTTGGTTCTCTCATCCTTTTTTTAATCCTGATGCTTGCGAGTTCAAGGTCTTCTCTTCACTTCCATGAACTATTGCAGTACATTTCTCATGCTGACATAACTAATTCCTGCCTCAGCTTCATAGTGCCATATATCTGTTCTCATTCTCATGCCTCGCCGATTGTGCCTGCGATTTGTGGGCTCAATGCTCCGAATATAGGGGTGAAATGCCCCAGATCTGCTTCCTTCATGTGTCTCATGGACTCTGTGACTCCCATCCAGCTATAGAGTCCTCTGCTTCTCATGGTAAATGAATGTCTGTTAATGGTGTGTGTCAAATGTGACACTGTAATGCACTAGTAAACCAGCATCCTGCTAAATTTTCTGCCACCAACACTGAAAAGCATGCATGTGACTGTCAACTTCATAAATGGATGGTGTTTGCCAGTTCATCACTGATTTTTACACTGAATACAACTGATTTATGCCACCTTATCTAAATAATGTCCCTCATATGTGACCTTCTCCATCATTTTGAGTCATTTTGACACAGAAACACACTTTTCAGTTTTATGCAATGAATAAAAGTTTTAGTTCTCTAATGGTGTAATTATGATGTCTACTCGACCAGGTCAAAATATAATTTAGATGGTTTCTGTCTGCTGTAATTTTGAATAAAAAAATTAAAAGATTTATTCTAGCTTATATAATATATATATAACATATATAAAATAAAATAGTGATTAGTGATTTTATAATAATCAATTTTAGAGATATGCTTTTTTCTAATTGTTTACCTACCTAACTAACAAGCTGTGAACACTTAATGAATTTCCTGTTTTGTTTTTGTTTTTTTATTCCAGCAGTCAAAACACTGAGCGATTACATGAGAAATGAAACATTTTAGTAAATTGTTCTGAATCCTTAAACATACCATCTGATGTTTATTCAAATTTTTCGTGCTATAGAGCACAAAACTCAAAATCTCATTAATTTTCTCCATAGAGGATTGATATTTAATGATATCTTACAAACCTGTAAATACAGTTATTAATCGATGTTATATGCTTCTGTTAAAGCTGTCATCCCGCATTATGTAAACTTTTTTTTTTTTTTTTAATAATTGTTTTTTGGAATTCGTGGTGGAGAAACTACACTACCCATGATTCTGCAGAGGAAGTTCTACCAATCAGAAAATTAACTAAAATTATGCCCACCCACACCTATGAAGCACTGCAAATGAATCTGTCTTCCTACACTCTCACAATATTTAAATATTTGTATATATATGCAGATTGTGAAATAAATTGTTTCTATATACATAATCAATATTTTTAATTCAACAGTTCTATATTTATTCATTTTTATTACGCCATCCACAATGGATTGTAGTCCTTTCCCTCACTAAAAGCATTAAGTACACAGTCTTGTACTTTGTCTTTTTGTCTCATTTAAAAAAAAAAAAAAAATCTTGGTTTGGTTCATGGCTTTTAACTCTGTAATGAAGGCTTTTAAAAACACTATGGGAAAAACAAATTCTTCAAGGTGACAGAAAATGTTGGCCAGTACTCTGTAAATAATAGTTAATGCAGAATAGATGCTCAGTTCATGCACACATGGCTGCTGTTTGAACTGAAGCTTCATCAGCGATTTGTCACACCACGTTAATGAGTGGTGATTTAATTTAATAATTGAGTTTCATTGTGACTTTTGACTCAAAACGATAGAGCATGTCACATGTATATGTTTTATTTGTTATGTTTACGTGCGTTCTTTCTGTGTGTATTTGTGATTTAGTACGCAGTAAAACAAGTTCAGGGCAGGGTGAGAAAACGGCAAGAGATGGTTCTAGCCAGCGGGTGCCACGGCAGGTCAGCGCCACCAGGGGGCAGAAGAGCGCCAAGAGCTCAGGCAGCAGCAGCTCGTCTTCTCAGCTCACCTCCAACTGAAGGTCTCCATGAATTAAACAACACATACTAAACTTGCTGAAAATAAGCTCTTTTTTTTCTGTTGGAGAAGGTTCCTGTAGAATTGGCAAAAACGTTTGCACTGTAAACAAAAATAGTTAAGTTGCTTTAGGGATCTCCTTCGGGATGTCTTCAGTGTTTCATTGAAGACTTCTTTGCATTAAATTTGCATCTAGCCCACAGAGACTATAGCTGAAGTATGCCATATTTTCCATGGTTTATTTTACACTTTCACACCAAAACCATTTGAGGAAAACACAGATAATCTTTTGCTATCTTTAAACCATCCACTTCTAAAATCTGAAGCACATCTGTTTTAAACCGTGCTTGTTTAAGACACTCTACATTGTCTTGATAGACTGTGATGTCTATATGGGCTTTATTTTCTATTATTTTGATTTGTGAAATGTGCTTTTTTATGCATTATTTTTATTGTATTTCTTTTTCTTTTATCCATTTTTTTTTTCAAGTACATCTCTCCAATTTTGAGTAAAAATATTCTGGATTTAAAAGCAATTATTGTATGTTGCACTTTAAATCTTTACTTAGTGAAGGACAGTTTGTATGCATAAATGCTTTATAAAGCAAAATATGAGAGAGTGTTTGTTTTTTTCTTTTTCCTGGTTTAATTTCTCGATGAGAACTAAGACATAAGCACTTAATTATGCAGTTACTGGAAATATGACTGCTCTCTTCATTCATTCTGACCAGAATGAACTCTTGGATCAGCATACTTCATATTCCATGCTGAATGAGATGGAATTTGATGCACTTCCTCTATAGAAGCTGTACTGTGTTAGAAGGGGCCAGGGTCAATGGAAGCACTTGTGTGTTTGTACTGTCCCCTTTCTTTACTATATGGTCACACTTGTTGACTTTGTAGGCCAAGGTAAGACCTCTTGCTATTGAGACATGCACAATGGTTAAAGAACTTCTCTTCAGTAATGAGCTGCAGGAATATGAAAATGTTGTTTCAGCGAGAGAGAAAAAAAAAAACGTTTCAAATGAACAACTTGAGAAAGGCATGTTTTAAAAGATGGTAAACACTCAAGTGTTGTATTTTATTTACTTTTTTTTATCATAATGTGAAGCTAGTCCAAATGATCAAATACAGAAAAACTAATCACAGAATCACTGCTGGATAAAGTGGAATTCTGCAAAAATAGGATGAGTTTTAGTTTTTCTTGTAGTCTGTTAGATGATTCTTGTTTAATTAGCATTTCTTTAGGATTTTGTTTGACATCATAATGTTGGGATCATTAAGTTTTTTTTTTTTTTTTAAAGAAATTAATGCTTATATTCAGCAAGGACTATTAAATTGATCAAAAGTGACAGTAAAGTCTTCTACATTGTTGTAAAAAAATATTTAAAGTAAATGATGTTCTTTTGAACTTGCTAATCATTAAAGAGTTTGGGGGGTTGGGTGTTTTCAACATAGATAAGAAATTTCCTAAAACTTTAAAAGTTTTTAAATGAAATCAAAGATGGGAGTACTTAAAAAAAGATATATATAAAAAAATAAAACTTTTCTTGATACTTAAAAATGTAATGTTTAATTCTGTGCATTACTTGCCATTTCTTTGAAACATTTTTCACTCAGAAATTACTAAATTTCACAAATAATTACAAAGGAAAATCACTTTTCTCCAGTGTGACACTAAAGACTGCAGTACTGGCTACTGAAAATTTAGCCTCTCCATCACAAGAATAAATTACATCTTAAAATGTATGAAAATAGAAAACTGGTATTTTACATCGTAATAATATTTCAGATTATCACTGTTTTTACTGTATTTTTGATCAAATAAATGCAACCTTGGTGAATATGAGACTTTTTTAAAACATTCCAAATTCTGACAAAAATATACTAACCCCAATCTTTTGAATGATAAAATAATATGAAATTCTGGGGTGGGGATTATAGAAATTGATGTCCCTCCATTGAGATTTTGTTTAAAATTGGGAAATGATAGAATTTCGATCATCATTCTTTTAGAATTGTAAAAAATTTTAACCCTTGAGCCAACCTCAACTCAAAGCAGTATAACAGTTTAAAGCAACAAAGCATGTCCAGACGTTTCCATCGGTGAGACAAACTACTTTGTGTATATATGGCCCAACTTCACTTGGAAGTACATCAGTGGCTTATGCTGTACTTTTCATTGCTAAATGCAAGACGGACAGTCTTTTCTCTTTCAAGGTCAGTGGATTAAAGCGAATTCCTTCAGATGGCACAAATATGGCCATAAAAACATGTCTCATTGCACATGTGTACGCAAGTCTTTCAACAGTTTCTTTATTGTTCATTTGTCACTTGTGAAAAAAAATTATTTTAGCACCTGAATGATTAGTAGGGTTTTCATTTGCCGTTTTAATGGAAGCCAGTTGCGTTTGTAGACTATGGTTATCATATTTTGGGGCAAAGTGTGTGTATTTTTTTTCCCCCCCAAACAGACTTCTCAAACACGGTCAGATGTTGTTGTGTATTGATCTCTCTGTGTACAGTATGTATGCAGTGAGCAGACCATGAAAGGATGGATGGAAGGGTTGCGAGGGGATTTATGGTATATGAATCCAACGGTGATATCGCTGGATTTTTAAAGAGCATGGGCCATAAGTAAAGAACAGAGCACTGCTCATGAGGGGAATAGAAAAGAAAAGCTTTTGTTTGCCAGACAGAGAGGTATGAGGACAAAGACATACACTTGTGGAGAAAACAAAAAAGAAAAGAGCTTGAGGGGCTTGAGCTAAAGAAAATAGGTGTGTGCGCGAGCGGGGAATGAGGCGAGAGAGGTTCAAACCTCGAGAGAGAGAGAGAGAGAGTGAAAGAGGTGAGCTGGAGGTTTTAATGTGGCCGTTTGTCGTGTTTATGTGGCTGTGGCGCTGCTTTCTCCTGCTCTTTATATTGATGGCAGTGCAGCCCGGCTGTAATTGATGGCGGCATATTGCTGTACTCCGGCAAGTGTAATGGGCTGAGACACAGAAGCAGAGAGCACAGCAGGAACCCTCTTTAACCCTTTATGTACTCACACACTCAAACCCTGAAATGTGTGTGTGTGTGTTTGTTTGTGTCTCTGTAGGGAAGGAGACGGGTGCCACATTTCAACTACAGGTAGATTAACTTCTCTCCCTATTTTGTAACCCAACGTTTGCTTTAAAACATTAATTATCAATTCAAAACACCTTGTGCGTTGTGCAAGTTTTGAAGCTGCACAAAAAAAGACACGGTTCTTCCCTTCTGTAGAGCTCTGCTGCCATAAAACAAAATGCATATAATGTTACATTGTTTAATGTACTTTAAAGTGATCTGAGTACTGGAAAGCTATATGAATCAAACATATTTTGGTGGAGCTGGTGGAAACAGTCAGTCATGTGATCTCAGCATGGCAGCATGAAGGGACAACCAACTTTTATTAGGCTACTGATATGACTAGTTATTCATTTGAAATGAGTGCATATCATTTTGAACATTTGTCAAAAGTTCTCAGTACTGAGTACAAAAGAATACTGACTGAGCATATTTCTTAAGAAATATTTTGGGTTAAATATGAATTCACTTTTAACTGCTAACCGAAACTGTGACCGCTACACCTGCTAAAATAAAAAATAAATAAATATATTATTTTATTTGTTTTTATAAAATATTATTTAAAAAAATTCATATTTAAAATATTTTTTATTTGTTTACACAATTTTAATGGTTTACTTCATTTGTCTTGGTGAAGGCTACCAGTGCACAGAATAAAAAAAATACAAGATATAAATAATAAGTATAAATAGTATTTTGAGTATTGCACTTTTTGAATACCCAACTTGGAAGCATTTTAACTCTTCTTGAGTTAGTTTCTAGCCTTTTTTCACTAATCTGGAATATGTATTTAAGACATTTAATAACTGAAACGTATCTGCTTAATTGTATTTTGAGTGAATTGTGATATGAGTGAAACGTGTTCTCTCTCTCTCTCTCTCTCTCTCTCTCTCTCTCTCATAGTTTGCCACAGCTCTGTACTGTACTAACTGGGAAAAAAAAGGTGAATCTTGTTTGGGTGGTTACCTGCGTTCCCAAGTCGCCAATAGGGGGCAGTGTGTCTCTACTGGCACTTCAGCGCTTGGATGCTGAGATTGTTGGTACCTAATTTCCCCCCTCCACATATGCCCTGCCTGTGGCATCATGCTTCTATGTGTGAACATCTTTGGCAGCGTGGAGAGGGAAGGGCCCGTCAGCCAGCACGCTCCCACTGCTGTGAACATATTTGTTTGCTTGACTGTTTGTTTCTATTTCTGAGAGTTTGACTTACCCTTAGTCATTAGCAGGGCAGCTTTATGGTAATGTTCATTGTTTATTCGCATGTTTATTCATGGGCCTGTATGCTTCCGTAGTGGTGATAGTGATAATTTATTCAGAGACGAGATCTCTTAAAATATATCATATCATAAGTCAAGGCTTATAACTTAACATGATAATACTATAACGCCAATGAACAAAACTGTTAAACCACTAGCTAATCATAAAGCACACATATTATATACTTTTTATATATACATAGGAAAATACATTTGTCACAATATCCAAGCGTGAACGAGCAACAAAGAACTGTAGGCCTGTCTGTACACTCACACAGTAAATGAAAATGAAACTAGCCGTCCTTTTCAATATCCAGCTGACATCCTTATCAAACAAACGTATTTACTGTATAAGAATTCATTCTCTCAGTTTGAGTACTTGGAAACAATGTTGTGCTTGCTGTATCTCAGAGCACACAAACTAATCAAAAGTACTCCACGTGTTCACCAGATAATGACTCTAGTGAATAGATCTCCTCTTGTAACGCAGTGTTATTTACACAGTTTACGAAAACATGCTTTATCCAGCTCTATTTGCAGCAGTTGTTTAATAATGATTCAAGAAAAGTCAGCTGTGCAAAAAAACCAAACAAAGATAGATTGAGCCCATCATTGCATTCGTTGACAATCACTTAATTTTATTGCATGGTTCGTTCATGAACAGTGCATATAATTGTATTATATATTCCTACCAATAGCACGCACGCCTGTGTGAAAGAATTTATTTTTTACGAGAAATTGATTTGATTGATTGATTGATTGATTCGCCATGCCAACAAAAATATTTCAAAACCAAGCCGAAGCAACACTCAACAGCTTTTTAGTTCTTGAATCAGCGTTTTTTTAGCAAATTGATTCAATGGAGTGAATGATTTAATGATTCACTAATAAAAGGTGTGAATTTTGGCTCCATCAAATCGGCATACTTCACTACAATATAGCAGCTATATAGAAAAACATGTTAAAAAAGTTTGTCTAAATCTACAGTATTTATAAAAAAGTAGTCAAAAAAAAAAGCCAGATGGAACCGGTGTCTGAATTCAGAATAGCATATAGCGTACTA